ATATCATATCTAGGTCTACATACATACATACGCACATACATTGGGCCTATACATACACACACATACATACTATACATACATTATATAGTAAACGGATTTTTGGCTCTGAACGCCTTAAATTCACCATAGGCTTCGATACACTACAGTGACACGTTAGTATGTATAGGTTTGGAACAACACGTCAGGGTGTACAGTATAAGGATTCCTAAAGAAAAAAATCAATAAGAAAAACATCCACCAATTTGAACCAACCATGTATAAAAGGAAATCTAAACTCGCGTGTAGCTAATATAAATCGTTTGTTTTGAAGTTAACTAACAACAATAAAATGTAGAGTTACTGACCAAAAAGCATTGCTTTTATGTGCCTATCGTAGAGCCAGTTCGTGTCGCAAGTCCTTCAATTGTAACTACTCAGGCGGCTGTTGTCCATGTTGTACAACTAACACTATCCAGTCTCGCCGGGTTTTTTAAAACCGCCAAACAAACATATATCAACAGAAATATAGGCCTATAATCTTGCAGTATAGTTTTCCTTACGTGTGAAATCGGTAACCAAATTCTTCCATGGAAATTCTAATGTAGGCCTACACACTAAATAGAAGAAAGCCTGTTTTTGTTACCACGTCTTATACCCGAATACAGAACGTTTCGGTCGCGCCTCACTTTGGTCGCGCTACTTTGGTCGCGCTCCATTTCGGTTTGTTTTCAACAAATATATGAAGCGCCAATGGAGTTGCGAAAACGCTAAATTTAATATAACTAGGCCTAATTATCATTGTAAGTTCGTCAATCGGTTTATCATACTTTTCTTTTATTTATTTTTTGTTGTCTTTCTACTAAGTAACAACATAGGCTACTTAAAGGCAAATAAAATTAATACTATTATTACTAAACTAAATTTCAATTAATATTATGGTATTTATAGGTTATTTTCTAGTTTGTTGCATTCCTAGTACCATTTAACTCTTTTATCGGACGGTTTTTATTTTCGTTTTGTTATCGATCCTACGCTTCCTACTACATAACAAATACAGCAAATAAAATGAATTGGTATTCTCTTAATACAGTATTGTTTTTTAATATGATATTATTTATAAAAATCAAACTTTTTATCAGGAAAAACCAGCCAACTTGTTATTTAAATTACTGTAAAATTAGTTTATTAACAATTATTTTTATTAGTATTAACGTTGATTATTGTTACTATGTTACTCTATCACTTGGTGCTATTTTTCTTTTTTTCACAGAAACAACACAGATGTTACGAAGTTGACCGAGTTTGAGATACTTTTTTTTTAATTGTTTGTTGCGATATATATATTGATATAATTTTTATTATTAATGCTTGAATCAATTAAAGATCTATGGAATAAGTATAGTAAATAGATTTTTTTTCTTGTCTGTTACGTTTCCATTTACCATAAATGTTCTGATCATGTTTATAATAATATTGTAAAGGAAATATGTATTTTCTTATTTATATTTTCCATATAAAATTATCAATACATTTACAATTGCATGCTATACATTTAAAAGCCGTTTCATGCTTCTTTTATATTTATAAGCCCGAGAAAATCTCAACTTGCTAGGCCTATTTCTTTAGTTACATAACTGGAGTATAATTGTGAAAAGAAACGTTTCCACAAATTGATTCCCATGGTACTTTTAAGGGGAAGCTGACACAAGGTTTATGATTGCTTGTTTCTTTTAATTCTATTTTTGATACATTACTGCAAAGTAGGTCACATGCTAAAATAGACGACTAGCTATTTTAGGTACAAACACGTGCGCTGGAGTGCAGTTCACCACTTTACGTGTGTTCACCTACTTCATGAAACGAATCGTCTGGACTGGCTGCTGATCATGTTTATAAAATACAAAAATAAATGGATAGTAAAATATATATTTATTATATGACATGTGTAATGTAAATAAATATGTATAAATTATATATAATCTTATATATGTATAAATATATATATATGTATGTGTATATAGGCATATTATTTATTAACTAGTATCAAAGAAAAGTAAAGATTTCAGGTGAAGAATGATAATGTGTGTATTATTCGTTTATTTCTTTAATTGTGTTTCCTTCAATTCTCTCGGTATGTTTTATCCAAACCGGGAAGCTGCAAGAAAAATAAATAAATTTATTGTATAAAAAGATCGGAATAAATATTGTAATGATTATTGTTTTAACTAAATTATGAAATAGATTTCAGATGGTAACAACATTCAATTCAACTAAAATCAAAGATACATTTTATTGACTATAATTATTAAAGTATACGGTAGTATATGAACGCAACAAAAAGAATAGCATGAAGCACATACTAAATTCCATTGTTTCAATCATAAGATCATGTTTCAATCATGAATATATCACCTTAAATGAAAGAAAGAGAATATGTTAGTAGAAAGATAAAAAATGTTTGTTAGTAGAAAGATAGAAAAAGGGAAATTAAAAAAATACTTAGGCCTATGATAAACCGACTGTGAACTAATTATAATAATATATAGGGCCTAGGCATATTAAATTTTGCGTTTTCTCAACTCCTTCGGCGCTCCATATATTTGTTCGAAATAAACCGCGACCGAAATAAGGCGCGACTGAGAAGTGAGGCGCGACTGAAACAAAGCGCGACCGAAATGACCGGGCTACCGCTTATGTTACCTGATTACCATGTCTTTTGAAAATTAATTACGGTATGACGGAGGATCCTCATGCAAATTTTAACACTACCCTGCTTCTACAGTCAATGCAATAGACGCATCAATGAATAATGAAATTATAATATGCACTTGAGGCGCTAGTATTAAATAAATACCATGACATGTTAACTACATTAAGTATTCCCGTATTAAAACAAATAAAAATATGGATATTTATGAATAATTCATGAGATTTTACCAAACTATCCTACGTTAAAACAATTTGCGGTTGGGATTTGTTTTTTTCTCTTTTGTGGGGTCTTCCCACTTTTATTCATCACATTTATAATTCATCATATGACCTCGATTGAGACACGTACATTACAGTACCCATTCAAAATTACATATGTATTGCCATATAAATCATTACATAATAGTAAAGCATAACTATAACACCAGCTATTCTTAATTAAAGACTTTTAAGTATTTTCTAACATTTTTTTCTATGATAAAAAGCTGATGGATTGAACTATAATTCCATTTATTTAGATGTTTTAGGACATTAGCTTTATATATAGGCCTACTGAATAGAGCTATTGAAAATAAATGGTCAACATATACGTTTCCTGTTCCGAGGACAATATTTTTAAAATTGGCTTCAATGCCATATTTTGATAGACTAATATTATTTATAAAATTCCATTGATCTGTACAATCATAAAAAAGATGCGCATCATCTTCAATAACATTACAGTACATTGTTTACAAATGTTGGAATTTAAAATTTTCCAAGTACACAGCCTTTTCCTAGTAGGAACAATATTGTGTAATAATTTAAAATTTATTTGTCTAAGCTTGTTTTCCTTAATATTTTTTACCTTCTATGTCCAGGTTAATAACCAATTTATTTCAGTATTAAAATAATTTTGCCATTTGGTTTGGCACTTTGTAGGTGCTAAGCATTTGTTTGTTATAAAACACTTGTATATTTGCATACTTTTCATATTGCACCAATTGTTTTTTTTTTTTACCTTTTTTTCCTTTACGTTTTCTTTTTGTGAAAAAATAATACATTTCCATTTTTGTGGAATTGTTTCCAGTACACTGGCAAATTCTGATATCCAATTTGATTTTATATCTAACAAATCAAATAACTCGGTTGATTTGATAAATCTGTTGGCGACCACTATGTTTTTCATTTTTCGTATACCGGATATAACCCAGTTTCTGTATAATAATGACAAACCATTATACAAGATCAACTTGTTTCCCCAAATCGGTTGTTCAATATTTCTTCATAGCATGTTGGTTGCTTTGTTATGCACTTATTGAAATTAACTAAAGCATTAATTATTGAAGAATAGAAACACGGTATATCTTTGTGGGATGTTCCTTTGTAGTGGTGTATATGAGACATATCATCAAATACTGTTCTCGGGGCAAATCTATTAAAATACATTGACGGCAAGTACTTCCATTTGGATATTTCCTCATGAAATAAACGCTTAACCCAAGCTATTTTTAGTGATTGGACTTGGGATCTAAAATCTGGCGCTTTTATACCGCCGTTATCATATTCACTGATAAGAGTTAATCTCTTAATCTTTTCTGTTGTCTTATCCCATAAAAAATCAAATACAATACTATCTACTTGTTTTATGACACTTTCAGGTGTTTCAATAATACTTGAATTGTAAAAGAAGTTTTGCTAGCCCAAGTGTTTTTTAAAAAATAAAAAAGATTTTTCCAAATAAAGTCAAATTTCTCTTTCTCCATGAATTTATTACCAATTGTAACGATTCAATTTTATCATGCCAATTCTTTTCGTAACATATATCTTGGTCGTGGCCAACATATATACCGAGGATTTTAAAAGCACTTGGGATCCAATTGATATTGAATAAACAATCGTTTCTATTTTTCCAGCGTCCAAGCCACATGGCGTTCGTTTTTTCTTTGTTTAGTTTTAACCCAGAAACTTTTCCAAATTCAATAAACTTATCAAGGCTCTTCCGTATACTATTTTCATCATTAATGAACAAAACCGTGTCATCGGCAAGTTGAGAGATTTTAACTTCATTAACGCGTGTACCTTCAAGACTTGGCAGCATTATGCCTTTAATTGTTTTATCACTCCGTATTCTTATAGACATTATTTCTGCTACCATAATAAATAGGAGGGCAGATAAGGGACAGCCTTGCCTAATTCCGCGGTGCATTTTAAAAGTATTTGAGCGCCACCCATTGTTTATAATAATGCATTCTGTTTCGCAGTACAAAACCTTTACCCATTTAATAAAAGATGGGCCAAAATTAAAATAGTGCAAGGTACTAATCAAGAAATCTCTGTTAACAGTGTTAAAAGCTTTGCTGAAATCTAAGCTAATCAGTGCTCCTGTTAAACTGTTAGTATCCATATATTCAATCAAATCTTCGATTAATCTGACATTTTCGCCGCCAAAGCGACCTCCAATGTAACCTTTTTGGTCATTACTAACTATTTTTTTAATTACTTTTTGTAGTCTTTTTGTTAAAACGAAGGCGGCAATTTTATAATCTACGTTTAGGAGGGTTATCGGCCTCCAATTATTCAGATCTGCATGCTCGCCTTTTTAAAAAACTAGGTTTATCATCCCTCGGCGTTGAGAGTTTGACAGTGTACCCATTTCTAAACAGCAGTTCAGGGCATTACATACTAACGAACCTATTTTTGGCCAGAATAATTGATAAAATTCCATTGTTAAGCCATCTGTACCTGGTGCTTTGTTACATTTCATTTTTTGTATTGCATTTTCGCATTCAGTAAGGGATAAATTGCCTTCGCAAAACTGTTGTTCATCAGTCGTTAGTTTATTGGCTTGTGTTAAATTTAAATATTCATGAACTTCCATCACATTGACGTTTTGATTTGCATATAATTTCTCAAAGTATTTTACTTCTTCGGACAAAATGTCTTTGGTTTTTTTAGCATATGTTCCGTCTGACCTCCTTATTTTTTTAATTTGTTTTTTT